GATGAATTTATACCAAATGACCACAAGCACTTTTTTATGGTGAAGTACCCCATATGTCAGGAAAACCCACCAGAAAATGTGCAAAATTCTCTGTTCATTTGGAAGAATGGAATCCAACTTCGAAGAAAGTGGTATGGATGACACAGGAGGAACCCAAGAGCAAAGCTCCCTTTAATTTAATGAATCTCAAATTGATACCTACAAGCATAAGAAATTCACTTGAAACAATTCCTGGTCTCCTAGGGAAATGAGAAGGAGATGGAATGGGGATCAGCTGCCTACTCTAGGTTCTAGACCCCTTGAAGTCATTCTACTGATTTCATATTGCAAAACATTGCCTATTGCCTAACTGCCAATTGTCAGAGGGAACCGGAATTATGAGCCATTTATTTTTTCAACGTAAGAAGAAGCAAACACAGCACTTAGCTGTGTCTACATGTAGTGCCTCACATGAAAGGGTTAAATCAGGCATAAAGAGCCCTTTCCTGCACAGCAGTGGTTATACAGCAGTCAGCTTTTAAGCAGGTTCTACACTGTGAACAGATAAAAAACTGCAGTGGGAGGTGACAGCTTTCAAGAAGTGCCACTATGGTTTTGCCTTCCCTCTGACACACAGAGGGAACACAGCCTGGAAATAACACTCACCATGGTCTTCAAAAAGAATCACACAGTCATAGAAATTTTGGCAAACACTTTCCAGGTATGCTTCCTTCCTATCCAGCACTAACCATACCAGTGACTCCAAGGGTATGTCAGGGGAGAGTTTGCAGCCTGCCTTTCTTGTAGCACCTTTCTTATCAGATCACACAAACATCACATGTCACTAGCAGATACGGCCCCAAAGCAGCACTGACACATCAGCTTCAGCCAGGTGGTGCTTCAGATGCTGAAGTGTAGTGGTTTAGATTTGTTAATTTGAGTTTTTTGGTTAATGCACTAAATAGTGTGGTGGGTTTACTGTTGGCTAAAATTACTAGTGTACTTATTCATTTCTTGTTGTGAAATATGGATCAGAAGGGTAAAACAGGTTTAAAACGTAAAAGGTATAAAGTAATTTTATTAATAGGATTACAAGAATAAGAAGTATTAGAATAAAACTTCTAGAACACTTCTTTCTGCTTAATTTTGTTTTTCTTAGCTGATAATTTAGAGACAAAACTTGGGATGTTAAATTAGTACTAACTATACAATAGTCTTTTATTAGTTTTTGTAGGGAGAGGAGGGGTTTTTTGTAATGCTATGGAAACTTTTTTACAAGAAACACTTTTCTTGTGGTTTTTTTTATTTCTATGAATAGCAGTTGTCTGGTAAAAGTTTTGTATTGTGGGTTTTTTTTATTTTTATAGCTTTCTTACAGGAGTGTCTGTGGGTTATGAACTTATGGGGTATTATTGTAAGGATGAGTTGTTTAAAGGTAAAAGTTTTATTTATTTGTCTTTGTGCTTATCTCTGGGAACAGAGGGTTTTTTTCTTCTCTCCTCGGCGGGGTAAAGGGTCTTCATTATTTTAATTTCTTTTTTTGTTTAAGCTTCTTATGGGATCACAGCTACTCTAATATCTGTTTGGCATTATTAATGGATATTTCTGTTCACATCTACAGTTTGAATACTTCATGCCCCCATACTCTCTTATGAATTAAAGGGAATACTTCAGTGTATTATTGTCTATCTCTATGGTACTACTAAAAGAGTTTTCAGTTCTATTAGGGTATTTCTTTATTCTCTTTTTATCTGAGGCTTGTCTTTTTTTTACTGACTTAGGTGTTCTTACGTTGTTTTTTTACACGTGGCTATTCTTTTTCTCTCACCCGAGTGGAGAATTGTGGTCTGCAGTTTTCACCTGTGCACTGAAAGGGTTAATATCTCACCCAAGCTTGGAGATGGTCGTGGCCAGTGGCTGTAGCAGTCTCGGTGCTGGATTTCAGGCTGAGCTGGGCATCTCCCTCTGTCCTGCAGCCGCTGGGAGGGGTGGCTCTGCCTGGGGCCCAGCGGGCAGGGGGAGGGCTCAGTGTGGGCAGGATGTCAGCAGCTGTGGCCCGGCCTGACCTGGGCTGGGGGCTCCCTGCCTCCTGTCCCCTGCCCGAGAGCCACTGGGGTCTGCTCCCACCCCGGTCGCACAGGCTGCAGGGGAGCGCGGCTGGCCCCACCAGAGCTCAGCTATATCTCCAGGCTGGAAGCAAAGAGAGAGATTTCTTGGGGTTTTAAAATGTGGATCTCACAGAGGTAGATCTAATTTTTAAATGGTATAAAATGTTGTTAGTTTTCAGAACTAGTCAGCTATTGGTCTTTCCCAGGCACAGAAGAAGCTCTCAACAGCTTTTCTTAAAGAAATTACTTCTGTGAGTAGTTTCTTACTTCTTCCTTAAATGTTAATTAATGTGAAACTACTACATGAAGTAACACACTCCCTAAGGGTTAACGAAGAAGTATTTCTACTCGGGGCAAATGGCAATAATCATGACTGTCAATCAAAGTCAACCTTCTATCACTTGATCCTCTTTGTAGGAAATATACACAGTATAATTTTTACCTGTTTGGAATAAGCAAACAGCAACATTTTCAAAAGCTGCTTGCATCCAGTGTACAGAAGAACATCTTGACATTGCCATTAGGCAGGGGAAGGTGTTACTATTGCTAAAATTATTCTTATCATGAGATGTTACATAGTGATTCATGTCATTATGGAAACACACCATGGAATCAGTATAAACAGGAATACTGATATTAAAGCAAACACGGACATGAAACAAAGGAAAATATAATGATTTCATTATTTAAATCACTTTGCTGTGAATTGCTGGCTTTTGCTGTTATGTGTTTTTGCCACAATGTAATTGCTTAGGAAATAATTATGAATTGTGTCCACTCTTTATGTATACAGAAAACAGTGGGCTTGTGCAAACGTGTAAAACCTTGTTACTGCTGTTACCTGCTTGCTAGGAGTGTAAGCTGGCCGCATGTTGGAGCTTTGTCCAGACCTGGTGGGGGCTCCCAGCCACTCCTGCTGAGGAGACAGCCAACATATTTGGCCTTGCCTGGACTTGTACCCCAGCACAGAAGGCATGACACAGCCCAACAAGAAACTGCCTATAAAAGAGCCAGTGACCAGGGGTAAGGTGGATGTGTTGGTGGAGTGGAGCTGCGTCCCCAGTGCTGCTTGCTTGTCCCTTATCAATGAATTAATAAATTGCCTTATTGATTGACCAACCCAATTGTGGTGAGCAATTTATAACATTCTGACTCCAGCTGTAGGGCTCTGTGGTATTTCTCTGTGAGTTTTGCCATGTTACAAAGCATACTGATCTCTTTAGAAAAGCCTTGTAAGTCAATGACACAGAGTCAGACAGCAAACCTGGGCTGATTTACCAGCATCACTTAACATCCAGAGGTCCAGGATTATGTTTTGCAGGATAAGGGAGTCTTAAAATAGGACTGATCAGTACACTCTACACTCCAATAATTCTAATGAGTGTACTCAGAATGAAAAATACTAAGAAAAACTATTTTTCAAATAAACTTTAACCAGCTATAACAACAACAAAAAGCCTTTTTTTTAGTTTTGCTTATGTCTTCTCAGTGTTTCAACTGCACATTTATCGAACTCCTTACCTGATTGCTACTCAAGGGTGAAATAATCTCTGGTAGTTTTACTTGTGGAAAAGCCTCCAAAAGGCCAGAATAGCCTTAGAGGTCAGCTATGCATAGTAAGCGGTGTCAGGTGCACTATTTATTTATGCAAAACACATTGTCTTCATGCACTGAAGTGCAAATATGTGCTCCTCTGCATTCTCACTCTAACTGAGCTATGTCTGCTGCTCTTTAGGTCTCTACAGATTCCATCTACACCACCAAACAGGAGTCTGTTTATATCTGACCACAGTAAGATTGGGCTAGTTACACTTTATCTTTGGCCATCAATAGATGAACTATGAAAACACTGAATAATTTAATCTTTAACTACTTTATCACTCATTAGGATGACTGTAACACATTTAGCTCTGGCCACAGAAGCATTATTGTTTCCACACAAGATAAATTCAACAATTACAGAAAGTTATTTATTGTATCCTGTGGCTTACAACAGGCTTGAGTTTTTGTATCTCAAAACAGAGAAATCCACACATCTTCTGATTACATTTGCTTGCCTCAGCAATGTACAAATACCCACAGATGTGTAGGCATTGCATGGTTGTCAATACATATCTCATATATTGTTTGTATAAATCTTGTATATGGTTTGTGTATCACTGACACTGAATGCAATAGATTAATGTGCCAATGCCTAACACTTATTGCATTGATTAAATGCATACAATTTTCTCCCAGATCTCACTTAGGAATGACTGCAAGCACAGCACAGCATCCTTTGGGAGAATTCCTGTATTGGGTCAGCATTTTGTTTCCACTTTCAACGTTTTCTCCCAAACACCTATAGAAGCTTGCCATATCATCGGTTCGTGTTGCCTCTACCACAGCAACATGGTCCATAATGGAATCATTTGCTGTCATATATCCCTTTAGATGGGTTGTACTTGTTACCCATTTGTTTAATACCACATGGTCTGCATTGCAAGGAATGCATGCCAGCTCTTTCCTATCAACCTTGTCCATCATTCTGTACCACCCAGAGTCTTGTCATCCCCTTATTCAGAGATAGTACATTTATGAGTGTGTTGAGAAATGAAAGTCTTACTTGGTCCCTCTCTCCACTGTAACAACAGTTAAGAATCACGACAGTTTTCCCTTCTAAATACTGGCATTATTCACATATGTTTTAAATAATACTTAAAGAATTTTATTTAAATGTAAATATGCCAGAACTAACCATTAAATCTTATTATAAATCTTGGGAAAAAAAATTAAGGGGAAAGAAACTGCGCTGAAAATATTAACTTTATATGCAAAAACGTATGTGAGACCTAAAAGCATGGAAATACCTCTTGAAAGACCACAGGTCCATACATCCTGTTTCAAGAGTCAGGAAATTAACGTCTAAGGCTAAGAATGTGCTTACCTGACTCAGACCTCCCAAGAGTGGCCTGGCTAGCTCAGTGATGAGGTTTCTCTTCACTCAGGTTTCGAGCCAGCATATGTTTGTGGGGTTCACTGATTTTCTTCAAGAATTCAAGTCTATCAAGCGAGCAAAGAAATCGGGGGGGACTCTCTCTCTGGTTTGCATTCCACAGTTTATTTCTGTGAAGGGGAATCCAAAGGACAAGAGATCGAGGATTTGGGGTCTGGGGGGGTCTCTTTTAACAGGGTTTCTCGGAGGGAGGGAACATCAGAGAAAGAACCAATTATTTTTCTCAGTTAGTACATCTTACAAACTTTCTACAAATCAAGGTTACACATGCTCTCTCAGCTTCCATAGCTCAGAGACATTCTGGGACAGGAAAAACAGAGTTAGAAACTTCCGTGTTGGTAACAAGAGTCTCCTGGGCTAAAGAAATTTCAAGCAGCTGGAAATGCCAGCAGGGTCTCCCCTCCACTCCATCCGACTTCTGGCGGTGGTGCTGAGGAGAAAAACTTCAGTAACCGTGGTAACTTGACGCCAGGTAAACAATTAGGGGAAAGAGAAGCTGAGGGGGAAATAACAACTAAAAGAGGGGAAAAGATATATTTCAAGCTATCAACTACTAATATAAACTAACTTAACAACATTCTAACAACTCTACCACAACACTTACCCATAGTCCTGATAAGTGATGAAATCAAACATTTGCTCTCCTGAAGTAAGGGAGTAAAACTCCTGAGACCTTTAGACCAGATCTCTGATCACATTTCAAAGAATGTAATCACTTGTAACTCTCTCTTCCTGAAATTGTTTTATAAGGCTTTCTTCTGGCTGATATGCCATGAACACCTGCTAGAATGGGAAAAAAAATGTTACTACAGGTATTAAAAGGAAGTAAGATGTGACAACTCAAAAAATACAAAACATGCATTCTGCAAACAGTCTATGTCTGAGGAAGAAGTAGTATGGTTTACTGCTGTCAGACCATTATCTAACATTATCATTTTATTATATCTTTATCACATTTTATTAGGTTATTGACTCAGAAGATTCTCCCCACATTCTCAAAGAGCGCAGTGCACCTCCAGACATACTCACAGCTGCATGTCCCATTTCGAAATGCACAGCCTTGGTATGAACAGGAGCTCAGCCAGTGCCATGCCTCTTCATGCTGCATGACACAATCCTCCTACTCCAGAGATGGGAGCACGGCTCACTCCACCTGCACTCCCAATGGGATGATGTGGGCTGGGAGCTCAGTTTAAATGCTGATGTTTTGGTGAAAGCATCAAACTAAAGCTTGTAGTGCAGCTCAGTGTGGAGGTTCCATCAGCACAGATCCTACCCTTCAGCCCAGAGCTTGCAGACGGGGGACTGGGAGCAATGCATGAGGAGGGCAGGACGGCTTGATTCATCCTTGGGACAAACCCTTGAACTGCCCCTAAATTCTGCATCCTTTGTATTCAGTATCAATGGGCATCCTTCTCCCTAAGCTTTGTTAGGTCTCCCCCAGGTGAGACCATCAAAACATATCCAGCCCTAAACCTTAAAAAGACAATTCTACCAATAAGTAATTTATCTTCCTAACACGTGGACATCAGTCAGAGTTTGCTTGTTAGCTGCTATTTTACAGTCTTAACCTGCACCACAGGAGGTTTATGCTGAACATTAGGAAGAATTTCTTCACAGAAACGGTGCTTAGACAATTGGAATGGGATGCCCAGGGAGGCGGTGGAGTCACTGTCCCTGAAGATGTTTATGGAAAGACTGGGCATGGTACTCAATGCCATGGTCTTTTTGACACCGTAGTGTTCAGTCACAGCTTGGGCTTGATGGTCTCAGAGGTCTTTTCCAACCTAATTGATTCCGTGACTGTTTCACGAATTAAATCTCCCTTCTTGTTGACCAGGCTTGAAAGCAGACAAAGATCAAACATCAGAGATCATCCTCTCTCGAGAACATTTTCCCAAATCCCTCATTTTGCAGCTGAGGAGAGATGCCGAGCCCGGCCGCAGGTCCGCGCTCCCCTCAGGCCGGGCCGCGGGGAGCGCCGCTGCCGCCGGCGGCCGCTGG